AAACCACTCTTACCTAAGAGCTACATTTGTGAACACGTTTGCACCATGTCTGGTTACCATACATGAAAAGAGGAACACAATGTTCAAGAGATATTCATTTCTAATACTCCCCGCGACTGAACCACTGTTTCTGTATTCATGACTACTGAATTGTTTGCTTCAGATAGAAGACTCCTATCTCCAGCACTAAGTATTGCGAAGCTATCGCTTATCAATCTCGGCACTAGAACTTCAACAGGTGGGTGATGAGTTTAAAACCACTAAGTATGCTGTTCGAGAGACCGAATAGTACACTTACGCGTGACATGTGACAAAATTTTGATAAGCAATTCTATGAGACTATTAACTTGACGAAGTGACTACTTTCTAACGGGCTGTGAAAGAAGACTGTTTTTACATGAATTTCTCAGGACTGCGAAGTCTAAACTTGCTGGACACGTTAAAGTTAGAAGTAGTTAACAAAGAACTTCAGGTGAATTTTTCGGTGCGTCTGCTTTCAATGGTTTTTGAATGAGTCTGCTGAATTTTCTTTTTTTTTTCCTTCCGTTTATTTCCCTAGAGCTTCCTGATTGCCTTTGATGTTCACTCAGACTCCAGGTACTGTTTTGACTTTTTTGTTTCATAGACTGTTGCCTTGCGTTCTACGCTGCTTTTGCTGACATTTTATGATGTGATAGACAGACACTAGGGACGCACATTGCACACTCCAGACTGTGTTTTCATGTTCGTACCTGTTCAACTGACTTAACACTTCTCCCTGAAACTTTATGCATTAGTCAGCGCTACCAAGATGGTGATATCACGACACACATTCCCCGCTGCCAGGTCAATTTTGGCCGAACTTCTGAAACCTCTTCACATTGTATTCTTCCGTGCTCACGTTTGACAGTCAAATAACAGAGTAGAGGAAATCCGGTTGTGACGAGGCGAAAAATGTCGTGTGCTGACGGTGATCAACGAAGCCTTTCTCGTATGAGCACAAATCTTGTCAGTCCCTGAGGTATCAAAACTCATGCAACTCTCTAGGTGAGTGAAGTGATTGACGCGTTCAACCACTCCGCCCATTACTTTTAGACAGGACACTGTTGCAGTTCAATCCTAGAACACCGAAACTAGGTTAGCATGGAGGGTAAGAAGAAGTTTATCCGCTAGCCTCTGACACCGGCAGCTTACTTGATAATCCACAAAATACCGTTACATAAAGCCCGGTTTTTCGAATCTGGTGCCTTCGGCAAGGTGGTCTAATTCATCGGATGGACTTATCCACTGACCCAAGAGGAGAGATATTCCACTCCGGTGAACTCAAAAATCTGGATGCTGAGTGCCTAAACCCCCTACCCTTCCCCGTTTGTACAACAGCAAATGAGAATGTTTTGTTACTTTGAAATTTTTTGGCCACGATTGAAACAAGGATTGTTTGCCTCCACACATTACCGTGTTCCTTGAATTTCCCTAGACCCACTTTGTCCCACTTCCGATCACAGCCTCAAGGATCCGTATACGAGCAACACATTCCCTGTGTCTGTGTTCAGGTTCAGGGATTCGGTCTTATCAATGTGAAATTAATAACTGAGACATTGGTGAAAATCCGGTCATGAATTCAGCCTATCACTTACGGGTGGTCGTGTGCGCGCAAGAAGCCGCGGTGAGAAAATAGTTCCGAGCACCAACGCTGCTACATGCGTTTTGAATCGGCATAGATACACACGGCGAGGTTGTTATGCATGGAAGGAGTCGACCATCATCTGAAGCGCCGCACAGAACAGTGTATGAAAATCAATTGTTTTAGGGTTGTGCCTAAGTCCTGTAACGTAATTTTCGAATTTCCATGGCGGCGATCTCAAGACCAAGAGAACTTGGGAAGGAGGATGTGTGGCGCTTCGTCTTCAAAAACGAGCTTTAGCCTACAGAAACCACATTTCTGCCCCGTATGGTTAGAACGACATGATGCGGACCGCATGAGCAGTCGAACTAGTGCGGATAAGTCTAGGAGTCTGGTGTCAGGCAGGTGGGCAGGTTTACAATAAAAACAAACAAAGTTCATCAATGTGAAAGCAAGAGTGCACAAGTGCAAAAGGGAAGGGGTTGTCTTCGTGCGAATCTGACAGACACAGAGGTCAATCACTATTTCTTGTATTCACGAAGTACTTAGGAATGTGGGACCGAGAGTGTGGACAAAGCGGTAGCCAGGCGGGAGTTGTACACTTGATAGGCCGCATCAGAATACCGATATGCCCCGGCCATCTGGTTAGAGGGTTGCGTACGTGCGACACAGCGTGCCCAATGCCAGGGATACTCGGCTGCGCGTTTTTGGTCGGGACAGTTCATCAAGGCTATCATGATCAACATCGATGTCAAGTCTCGTTGGACCATAGCCCATTTTGAGAAGACCGTTTGCCACTTTACACGCATGTGCCACTCAAATCTGCAGCTTACCCGTGTGTAAGAACTCAAGTCAGAGGGCATGTCAAGACACATGTTTGGATATTTTTCTATCCTACAGGGAAGCGATCTGTTTTTTCTTACGAGTCAGGGCAAGTATGAAAACATGTTTCGTTTTCCTGACTCTATTTATTTTTGTTATTAATCTTGGAGATGTAAATTGCAGTAAGCACAAGCCCATCGTGAAATCGCGGTGGTCAGCTAATTGGCACCAGCGCCCTGAAAAGGTCACGAAGATTACAGCACCTACTGACACGCCACCAGATTAGATAGATGTATCGAGATGTTTTGAATACTTATTTACTTCAAACCCAGTGGTATTTCGGTCCCAAGGAAGCGTACGACATAGAAGGGTACACGGCTCCGGAGACCGTCTTGATACGGTGCTCAAAAGGCCAGTTTCTTGGGCTGTCAGCTCTTTTGATCCCTTTAGGTGTGCTGCATCTAATTCACTTGACATTCTTTTAGTTTGGCGGTCATTTTACTTTGTTAGGTGCTGACGACGTTTCGATTCATTCAAGGTTTCAGACTTTCAGAAGTAGTATTCACCCTAAAAGTTGCATCGTTTTCACGCCATAGGTGCTTATTGGCCAAAGCCCGAGATTTCCTAGTTGCTCGGGCTTCATGAAGAAGCCATGAAATAAACCCTGTTCATCATATTCAGTATTTCGACTCTATTCCAATTTTTTAATTCTAATTTTAGTTCTAGCAACACCGTCAATGCACCCTGAGAATGGATGAAGAGATACTGTTCCCTGGTGTTTTGGTAAACTTCCTTATTTTCAAGGTTAAATTACAGAATCAAATTGGGAAATATTTAAGACTTATGAGCCGTGATATACATTATCTATATCCGTTTCTGTGAAAGTGAGCTTATCATGTTGCATTCATAGATACATAGCTGCTTTGACCATTGCATTTAAAAGAATGCTGAATTATTTCCTTACCGCCTCTTCTAAGCCTCTGTTGTAAAACTTTAGTTTGCATAGTTCGAATTTACCAGTGCACGTAATTACAGAACTGTATGTTTCACCTGATGATCCCTGTGGGTAACAGATGCTCGGTGTTCCGTTGTGACTGATGAGGGCGAACATAAATGGTACTGGATACCTACGGATCATTGAATTATATTTTGTTTCTAGAAAATATTTATATTGGTCTTTAACTTGAGAAGCATCGGAGTCTGGAGCAAAATCACACGTTTACCGCTTTGACATTAAATTCATACAGTTTACTCAAGAAAATTGTTTCTTTGATTTCCTTTGGGGTAGCGACTGCGTCACTTGTGCATATAGCCATACAGGAAAGCGCAACTCAGCTTTGCCTGAATTCTATAAGTTGATTTTTTTGAACTACAAAAAGGTTACTGCTATGCTGTCCTTGCACTGGCTTAGACAAGCTAAAGTTTCGAGAAGAAAAGGTAGATGCTAAATAAATACTGGGCGACCAACTCACCCAGTGGAAGGAGATACTCTGTGAAGCCCACGTATTTCGTATGCAAACAGACTCAGTTGAACGCAATGAATCTACTGCAAAATTAATTCAATGAACCCCTCAATTTCCACACCTGTAAATTCAAAGGTACAAGCTGCTCGTAGTGGAGCCTTCAACTTCAAAACCAGAGCCGACCTATACAACTACATAAACACGTCGCATTCAGAACCCCCATTTCAGTTGACGGCTTGGCAGCCCCCATGTTAAACTGCCCCAAATTCCTTTGTGCATAGGCTGCATTAATGCTGTCACCAGTGCCAAGGATCAAGCTTCTGCTTCTGAGAACTAACTCTACGGTAATGCAGTGAAAAAAATGGGTGCATTTCCTTTTCACCAGGATCATAAGCATCCCATGCTTCTAAGATGCCCAGAATCTCCGACCCACTGATTGTTCCTTATTAGTTACACTGATTGGTCACTAGAATGATAAAAACTTCGTAATACCTAGCCTAATAGGCTGATCAAATTCCGACCATCACTTTGTTAATCGGTGCCCGAATAGCTCGGTCGTAACATCTCTGAGTGCTGCACTGGATGGCGCGGATTCGAGTCCCGGGCAAGAAATCATTTCCATTGGGTTTATGAACACACCTCACTGATGAGTGCCAACAAGCATCAACCTGGCTACAGGACTTCCAACTAGTTGCCTCAATCCATTTAACATCTTACTTAACCCAGTTAACTTATTCAGAAAGCTTGAAGCATTGGTGCGAAGGATTTCAGTTTAAATCGGAACATTTTGTATCTCGACTGTAGTTGAAAGTGCCAAGATTCTATGTGAGGTACCAGCACAGAGAGGCCCACCTTCCTAAAGTTCATTTCCACCAATGATAAGATTGCATGAAATATTTCCTCTTCCTGGGCATGAAAATTCAAAGATTAGTAGTAAAATTATGTAAAGAAGTTGCAAACCACTGTAATTTTGTTCGCATATCTGACCTTATTTACTTTTCTTCCCCAAACGTTTTGGTATTGGAACATTGCACAAAAGTTTGTTTTAGTTGGGGTGGAGTGAATTGCGACACTATTCTCATTATTATCGCGTGAATCGATTGTTGTGAATTATGTCTTATGACTATAGTGAGAATGATGTAGTAAACAGAGTAAGTAAACCCAACCCAAAGAACCTTTTGTAAAATCCTGCCTGTTGACATTTTCAACTACAGGAGAATGTGAGGAAATTGCAAGTATTCTGCCTTCTTACACAGCCCCTAAAACAACTAATTAGGATATATGTTGGACGCTAGTGTAAAGATTACATGATCACATGACCTTCCCCTTGTTGTTATTTATCTTACAAACATTTAAAGTCCTGGATTTCTGTACTTTGTGTAGTGTGACAGTTCTGTATCAAATTATTAGTTTGCCCTAAGCTTTTTAAGAACTACTTGGGATATTGGGTATCTGACTCAGTATGGGTTGCATTCAATTTATTTGTATTGTTCAAGAAGGTTGCCTGGTTTTCATATCTAAACACTATCTCTGTTGGCAATGGTAGCTTGTTGTGTGTTATTGTCGGTCTAAAACTGAGTTGTCAATTAAAAGAACATCTGAATTCCATTTTTTTTCATAAAGCATGTCATCCGTTCGAAGATTTGATCCCATAGAATTTATTATTCGGAATCACAGCTTGCGAAGACCTCTATAGTCAGTTGAAGTAACTCATATTAAAAATTACTACTTGTGAAGCTAGTTTCAACTCGAGGAGTTTTCAGTCTGTATGTAGTTGCCATATTTAAGACAGACAACTTGAAGCCAGATACTTCTGATTAAGAAAGACGGCAAGTAGTGATCTTAACACCACACTTCATGCTTGGTAAATGTCCATGGACGTAAGCAAGGGTAATGGACTAGTGCAGAACTCCATACCAGAATGAAGGGATCTAAATGATCTTAGTGTCGAAATAACCAAGGAAGACAGCAGAGAGAACCAACAAAATAAACTCTACGGATCCAGTGCTTTTCAGTAATATAAACTTCAGTCATTAATGTAGTAGAATCTTCGATAAAAGGCTTGCACTTCATACGGTTCATATCTGTTACCTTAATATGATTGTTGGGTTTGGAGATCACTAGCTTGGCGAACTTACATGGCGGTAACATTTGTTTCTTCGATGCCCTATCCTGCCATAGATGTCTGTTGGGAATTGGTAAAATTGGTAAAGTTACCGTTATGTAAATTGATATGCTTTGATAGGTTAAGTGCTACTCCTGGTTGTACGGCGCGTGACAGCAGTGAAGTGTTTCCCATGGTTGACGAACAGTCACTTCTAATCCTACCTTTTATATAGGGAGTATCGATCCCAAAAGTTGCACACCCCTATCATTTGGCTTCCGGTAATTGTCGTATGAGTCTTTGAGCTGAATTCAGCGCAAACTTTGAGGTCGATTTCCCACAAAAGCCGTATGCGACAGGCCTCAAGCAAGTGTCCTGTTGAATGTGGCCAGCAAAACACTTCGCGTACCTTGCAGACTTCGAGGGTATGGGCAACTGGGAAGTACCAACTGCCCACATGCTTTCTGTAGTCTAGGAAAGGACATGCCGTAGATCACCAGTAAGAGACCTCGCCTTGGTGTTATTTGGTTTGATCTCATATAACTCCTGACCACTTATAAGGGTCGGTGGCGACTCGGTACTCACATCATTTCCCAGATGACTGTCACTGCAAATTCGCTGTCTTGGGACTCACCCTTTGAAGGGTAGGCAAATAGCTACCATAAGAAGCCATTGCCAAACGACCTCAGCAGCTAGTGCACTGATGTAAATCTAACTTATCAACAGTGTCAAGGGTATGAAACTACTTCACTTGTGGTGTTCAAAGGTCACATTTTTCAGTCTGTCAGCATAGGTTTATTTGTGTCAAATAAAATGCACTACTTGCATCAAATTAATGCCTGAAGTAGTGATAAGCAGTACATGTTGAACAATGTTTAACGTTTACGTTCTTCGCCATTTGAGGTATCAGCTCCCTGTAAACCATTATCTTCACCGCCTTTCCTTAACGTATTCTTGGAAAATGGTATTACCACTTAACTACTAGTGAGTTACAACCCGTAGGCTAGACAATTTGGGCAATCTATTCCACCAGTGTATCCAGCGCTCACGAACTCTCGAGTCCCCTTCTGGTTTTCTCCGATATACCGTTATTCAGCAAAACTAGCAACTTTTACTCAGTGATTCCTTTTTCTTCATCACTAAGTAATCACTAACCGCCTGATAAGGCCGTAACTTATTTTCACACCCCACTTTGGCCAGCATTACCGGCAGTTCCTGACCGGGTTAGGCCAAAGATTGGCAAATTAAAATCGACTTCACAACTGCTTTTAACAGTTTCAGAATCACTGGACAGAAGGGTCAGGTTCTAAAAGATAGGGGAAGTTCTTATGCGATAGCTGAGTTGGGTTATGTCGTCAAATTGGAAGTGAAACCAAGGCTAATATAGGTGTTTAAGGTTCAGTTACAATCAGTAAATATGAAATGACGATTTCGGAACGTTTTGGGTGCACTTACCATCAAAGTGTAAGTTGTCGTTCTAGTATTAGCTTACATCGATGCCCTGTCTAACTTTGGTGGATGGAGTGGTTGAACGCGTTGATCACTTCACTCACCTGTTGAGTTGTGATGGCTCAGTGACTCAAGGCTTCATTGACCTCCGCCAACATACCAATGAACCCGTTTGTGTACTGTTCGACTAAATGGATATGTAAGGACTAGACACTATCGGGAGAGTAGACGATGCTTATTCGTGATCTTTGCCTACGCACCCACTGACTGCAATTAGAATGATGCAAAGGATGGATTTTATGGGTAGCTGTCAATTTTACTACGGAAAGCGGAACGTCCAAATGTAGTCTTAATGGCAGGCGAATTTAAGTAAGAACCCAAGTAGGAAAACAGGTAATCGAAAATGTATCTTGAAGGTATTTACAGAATTCCACGCCTACGAACCGGCAACGGTGATTGTTTGTTGCAATTTCGTTCTGACAATTACTTGTTTCTGACCAACACTAACTTTTGGCATAAAGATAAACACTGTCTCACATGATGTCTCACAATGATGGACCTATAAGCCACAGCTGGAGAGGATCGGTGGAGGATTGCTGCTCTTCCTGGAGTTCCAGTTTGAACTTCAATCACGCGCTAGTACGCGGTCGTGTATGTCTGCATTTTACTGGTTACAGGAGGTGGAGCCCATCTTTCCTTAACTGGTAGATAAGTACGCATTTTGAGAGCTAAGCATTTATCGTAACGTGAGAAGTGCTCGTTCTTAGGAAATCTGGAGTGATATTAAGACTGCTGCAGGAACAGCGAAATACGCAATTGGTAACCGAAACTTGAAGGTTAGCAAATATCATTGGATTCCAGCGACGTCATCCGAACTGATTGATGCAAGAAGACTGATTCCAGCAGCTTCTGACAACGACAGAGAGCGAGAGCAACTCAAACGTAAGTTGACCAAGAATTCGTGTCGATCGCGAGGAGTGGTAGGTAGCGAAGGGGAGAAAGATGGAGAAGGCATGCGTTTGATGGAATCACTATGGGGGTAATGTTGAGTCAGGAAGGGTACTAGGCAAGCCAATTGGTGAGGTTGTTAACCTTCATTGGTTAAGATGGCTTGGACATGTTACACATAACGAGTCACTCCCAACTTCGACGTGCCATGCTTGGAGAAGTTAGATTTGGTTGGGAGAGGGTTTGGGGTGTCCAGACCAAGACGTGACACCAGTCGATGAAGTCTCCTACCGTTGGTCTGAGTTACGTAGGGCGGTGCAGACTGTCTGGTTGGAGTCCTCGAGACGAAGGGAATGAGTGGTTAAGTACTCTTGGTGACATGGCCGGAAACCGGTGACAGTGACATAGGTGTATTCACCTCTTGACATTCTAAAGCTTGAATACTTAAACTAACCAATATCTTCAGATTGCTCTTTATCTAACACTAATATCACTTTTTTTAATCTAACTGTTCTTTATATACTACTGTGAAGTGTGGCAACTTGAGCTGATCCACTTTGTGCGAGGTTCTACGTTGATTTTGTCAGTCAGCGTCAGCTACCTACTTGCACATTGAAATCACCTACTACAGCAGCCACATATGAACGTTTGGCTCTCAATAGAGGGGTGGGTAGCTTTTGGTAAAACTCATCCATCACTTCATGTAACAACTGTTACTGAGTAAGCAGAAATTACAAAGGAACGACGGGGAGTTTTTTCTATCGTTTTAATTCCTCACTGTGCCATTCATTCGAACAGAGCGTAAGTGATTGTAAGCTAGGGTCCGGGCGAATGCTGGGTTTTCTGCCTAGAGGCTCAATGCTACATCCCCAAGTCCTTGAGAACTAGCCATTGACTTTCCAGAAACTCGAAAGGTGAACTTAGTGAACTCACCATAATGACCGGGTGAAGTTAAATAACCACATCCGGGTCTTTCTTGTGTCTCAGAAGCACAGCACACATTTATAGCTCGAAGCGCCCAAGTTTTGACCGGCGAATCTTGTTGGCCGATTTGATGGGTGGTGCAGACATTGGGAGCCCCAAAGTGTAGTTTGGAGCGCTGTTTCAGAAGACTAGATAAGCTGTTCTCACCTCGAATCGTCGTCAAAAGTTGACTTCCTGGCTGCCCACACCCCTGGTAGTCAGTTTCTTGTTGAGATACATGATAATGAAGTTGGGTCAGCAATACTGGTGCTAGACTGCAGAGCTCAAGAGACATCTGTCTGACGCCTAACGCGACATTTTTAAGAGTTTGGTACATAAGTTTTCTTGTCTTGAGTTCCACCAAAAAACCCATTATATCTGTACCGACAAACAACAGGTGTGCCGATTTCGGGACCGATCTTTCCTAACGTCGCTTCCGACTGAGAGGACAGCACCAGCATGGTGCTGCTGTTCATCTGTTGGAGACATCTCCCTGCTGTCTTGCAACATCCAGCCAGCAGTACGACTTCAACCTCGAACTCCCATCGTAATGTAAATATTCATATTATGCTGGTAAATTCTTTTGTCTTACCACACTCCATTAGACGATTCTGTCATGGTGGGGCCTTAAAGAACAAGGAAAAGATTCCAGTCAGTAGTTTTCTGGGTCATTGTAACATGCAAACGCGACTGCGTATTCAGAGTTCTACCTGAAGAGCTGCTGCGATCTTTGTTATGACCACGTTGCTTGTATCAAGCAGACATACTCTGGGAAATTTTTGTATTCCATAACGGTTTTCATGCTGATGCGGCTCGTTGGCTTACGGGCAAGGTTTTCAAGGTATGTGTCTCAGGCTCAAACTCATTCCACTTCATCCTGCCGAACCGGTTAGTTTAGTAAACTAGCACCATTATTGTTGCTCATAACCTATTACATTAGCCTGCACCAGTCTGAGTCATAATACACTGTCAAAGATTAATTTTAATTGTTGCACAGGTGAAGTGAATTCTTATTTTGTCCGACTAAAGTAGTTCGGGAACTTCCTTATTACTAATGTTATCTTCCTGATGTTTTTATCGGAGTAGAATTAGCATGTAATAAGCTATTCGACTTAACGCCAGTATCCGTACTTATAACTTGTATTTTGTGCAAATTCCGTTACAAACAACGATTTGCACTCATTTAGTACTGATTTAGTGCGTCTGTGGAAATCGTTTTAATTTTGTTGATTATTATTACATTATTTATTTGTCCCTTGGGTTCCTAGTGGAGCATAAACTTCAGTAGCACGTCTCCAGTGCACTCTGTTTTCTGCAAACTTTTGAACCTGGTTCCACGACAGCCCAGAAGCTCTCATTTCTTCCTCGCATGGTCTCCTCCATTTCACCCTCGTCTCGGACGCCCAACTTGTCGCTTCCCATCTGGATTCCACTCGAGGGCCTGGCGCGAGATATCCCCGAATGGTCTTCTCAGTGCATGCCCAATCTATCTCCACTTCCTTCTGCATATTTGTTGGGTGATAGGTTCTTGGTCAGTTCGTTGCCAGAGTTCCTTGTTGCTTAATCTTACTATTCTGGCCATCTGAGCTTCAGTAACAAGCCAGCGTAGGCAGTTGTTGATGAATGTCTGTAGTTTGTTGGAAATGCCTTTCGTAACGCGCCAAGTCTCTGAGCCACACGGAAGCACTGACTTGACGTTGGCGTTGAAAATGCGGATCTTGTTCTTTCTGCTGAGTGCAGAAGATCTCCACACTGGTTTCAGGCTAATGAACGCCTGCCTTGCTTTTCCGGTTCTGGCTTTGACTTCCTCGTCCGTGCCGCCTGTAGTTGAAACGATGCTGCCTAGATAGGTGAAAGAGGCTACTTCCTTTCAGTTTCTCCCGTTCATCGTGATTGGTGTTTGTTGTTGTTGGTTGGGTATCTTCATCACCTCTGTCTTCTCCACGTTCACCTGAAGAAAGTCCCGTCTTCGCTGCCTCTTCTATCAACTTGTTAGTTTTCGCCTGTAGATCTTCAAGTTTGTGTGACATCATCAGCGAAATCCAAATCTTCTAGGTTCTTTTCTGCGGTCCAGCGTATCCCACTCTTCTCGCTCCTCAGTTTGTTGCATGATCCAGTTCACTACAATGAGGAATATCATGGGTGATAGCAGGCAGCCTTATTTCACTCCTATCTTCACTTCAAAAGCATGACTGAGCTTCCCATTGTGAATTAATTGGCATATGGAGTCTTCATATAGTTGTTGAATGAGATTGATAAAGGTCTGTGGTATTCCGTGGTGTTGAAGCAGTTTCCAAATTACTTCTCGGTTGGCGCTGTCAAAGGCCTTTTCAAAGTCGGTGAAGTTGAGGTAGAGAGTTGATCACCATTCTACGCTCTGTTCTATTCTATGGAAATGCGTAGTGTAGCGTTGCAATTTGATCCCCACATGATTCGTACTTCCTCAAGCCAGTCAGCCAGCCTGTTCCGGTCGTACTTTTGAATCCACCGCATCTTCTAGTCTCTCCAGGATGATGCAACTTCATATTTTGCTTGAGGTGGACAGGAGCATAATTCCTCGCCAGTTCTTGCAAACACTTACGTCACCTTTCTTTGGGAGTTTGACAAGGTAGCCCTTCTTCCAATCAATCAACAGGTACCTTCCCTTCCTTCCAGACTTTCTGCAGTAGTGGTTTGAGCATGTCCGCTGATGTCTCTGCGTCTGCTCTCAGTGCTTCTGGCGGGATTCCATCCGGTAATTTTGTTGGTTACTGCAAGTAAATGACTCTGATGAAATTATTTTGCTTTTGTGATAGTTAACTGTATTTTCTTAATCCCATTTTTTCATTATTTCAGTTTTCGTCCATGGGTATCCATTCTCAGGAGTCAGGTGGTGGTTCAAAACTCTATGTACCTCCTCATTTGCGAAATCAGGGAGCATCGAACGGCATTGTAGATTCTGCAAATGGCTACAGCCAATTTACTCGTCCTCCTCGGGGTGCAAGTGGTGATACCTTTCGCGGACGAACTGGTCGCGGTTCTTATAGTAACAGAGGGTCAAAAACCGGAAATGATTGGCAACAACCAGACTCACGCTGGCAGAGCTTCAACGGAAAGTATGATGAGCTTTTTTATTAGCTTCGCTTTTAGTTATCAGCCACGGGGTGGTATTCCAAACTTCGGCTCAAATGTTCCTAGACGTAATTGGAACTCACCAAGTGAGGATTGGTCTCAACAGTTGCCACGAAATGAACGAACGGAACAGGAGTTGTTTAAGAATGTGAGCGCAGGCATAAATTTTAACCAATATGACAACATTCCTGTGACTGCAACAGGTCCAAATTATGACGATACTGCCTCGACTATATCTTCGTTTACCGAGCTTTCCCTGCATCAAATAATTCGAGACAACGTTGACATGGCCCATTATGAACGTCCCACACCAGTGCAAAAGCATGCCATACCAATCATTGCATCAGGTCGAGATTTAATGGCGTGCGCACAAACTGGTTCGGGAAAGACTGCGGCGTTCCTTATTCCAATTTTAAATAATATGATAAAGCAGGGTCCTGGTGATTCTATTTGTGCCACTGTAAGTTTTTTGTTTCATGATTGATTTTGGTAGATTGATAGCAACCGGAGAAAACAGTTTCCTGTAGCGCTTATTCTAGCGCCAACACGCGAGTTGGCTTCACAAATTTTTGATGATGCTCGAAAGTTCGCGTACAGATCCTCAATCAGACCGTGTGTTCTGTACGGTGGTGCTGATATGAGAACGCAGTTGATGGAACTATCAAAAGGTTGCAATTTGTTGGTTGCTACTCCTGGTCGACTAAGTGATGTTTTAGAGCGAGGCCGGATCGGCCTAGACTACTGCCGGTAAGTTCGTGAAATAATGACTAGTTCCCCGTAGATTCCTTGTTTTAGATGAGGCTGATCGTATGCTGGATATGGGATTTGAGCCACAGATTCGTCGCATTGTTGAACAAGATGCACTTCCGCCTGCTGGTGAGCGGCAGACACTCATGTTTTCGGCAACTTTCCCCAATGAAATCCAGGTACTTATAACATTCCGTGACGTTCTCCTAGGCTTTGGCTAAAGATTTCTTGAACAGCTACATTTTCCTGACTGTTGGACGTGTTGGAAGTACCAGCGAAAATATAACTCAGACAATACTTTGGGTTGAGGAAAATGCCAAACGAGACGCTCTAATTGACCTGCTTGCCAACTCAGGTTTTTAATAACACCTTCCTTATATTTTTGATTGTTTAGATACAGGCACATTGACATTGGTCTTCGTCGAGACTAAACGGGGTGCGGATGCTCTCGAAAACTATTTGTACTCCCAGAAGTTTCAGGTTGCTAGTATACACGGCGATCGGACCCAAGAAGACAGAGAATTAGCGCTGTCCTGCTTTCGTACGGGCCGGACACCGGTACTTGTTGCGACGGCGGTTGCAGCACGTGGTTTGGATATCCCAAATGTGAAGGTGAGTCTATACCAATTGCATTCATTATACGATAATTTAGGAATTTTTAACATCTTGCTTTGTAAATTTCTATTAAACTCACTGAACTGCTATTCGTGTTCATTCACGTTTCCAAAAATGCACTTAGATTGTTGTATTCATTTGCTGCACTCGAGCGTTTTGTGTTGTTAACTAGCAGTGGAATCCAGGACGAAACATGCGTCCTGGTTTCCACTGCTAGCCGCCACCAAGTCACTCATAGCAATAAGTATTCAAACAATATCAAGGCATCTGCATAGGAGCCTATATACCAGCAGAGGTCGACCAATTCGTTTTAGTATAATAACGGGGAATTAGAAGTATCAACAAATCTCAAACAGTTCCATCAAACAGCCCGATCACAATATTAAGTACCTATATTTACGGAATGTAATCAGAGCTACATAGACTCCGATTGCAAAGAATTAGTTATAATGTGGTACTAGTCATAGTAGCAAAGGACAGGAATGACCAGAGAGTACCGTCACGCATGCAGGCATAATTCGTAACTTGGTCAGACACATACATGTTTTTCTGTACAGTTACTAATAACAGATTTTTTGCCGCTGTTTAATGGAATCCATAATTCCAGAAACCAACATGATTTAATTATGCCAGTTTAACGAATTTAAATATCACACTTGTGATTAAAATAAGTGTACCACATCCACAAGATTTTCTTTGTTTTATCGTGTGCCCTTCAGTAAAAAGTACTTTCCATTAAAAACTACCAAAGAAGCAGTCAGTGGGCACTAATGTGAGAATTTTATTACAAAACAAAAGGAAAGTGAAAGAATCAGCAAATCCTATCTGAACGGCTAACAGTACTATGGAGTATGAATCATCGACTAGGGCATTTAATTTCAGAGCAGTAGAGTCCAAATTCTACATGGGCAGACAGGTAGTATCTTGAGCCCGTACGCAGGTGTGACTCGTAGCTTAATGCACAAACGTCTACCGGGTTGGGTTGTACTTTTAGTCCCATCTAGTGGGACTAAAGGAATTAAATAAATATTCAGTCATTAACATATGCACCTGAGCTTTGAAATAGTTTTAGTCGTACAATAATAAGGTATGAACCACATGAAAACTTGATGATAGGATATTTTCTTAATATATCACTGTTCAGTAGGCATAACTCCATTAAGCAAGATATAGAACTTTACAAGAAGTAATATATCGAAAGACTGGTTTTCCCTGAGCGCAACTGCCCCAAGTCCAATGTATGTGTTACTAGGCAAGATCGAAAAAAGTATCACTTGAGTAAAACGTTATGAACTTGATGGTGTAATGAAAATTTTCTTTGGGGAACATGTAGTGTTGGTGACAATTTTAACACGCAGACATTCGTGCGAACTAGATGGATCCTGAGAAATTTACTTGAGCGCTCTCATTTATTTATTACAGACGTTACTGAAACAACCTGGTACTCGGGGTAAATTCCAAGATATTCGTTACTCGTCATGTACCTTCACAATTCAGTTTATTTAAGTTTCATTTACTTTCATGAAAAGTTTGGCTACACAGGGCTACTTATCTCTACAAGTTTCACCTTAAATGAGTAGCTCAGTTCTGTTTGTCCATGAATTTAGGCCAAGGAAAAAAAATCGAACCTCAAATCTGAACTTTCATCCCAAGAGAAATGTAGCATACGTTACTACAACATTGCATCGCTTGCTGAAACATTATAAACATTCAACCACTGAAACTTTCAAGGTGGGTAAACTAAGATAAAGTATGTGTAGCAATGTAAGGCACCATGTACCGCATCTCATGATAGCTCATTAGGAAGGTAACCAAAACAAATTAATAACACAAAAGCTGATCAGGGGCCAGACATTACTGCATACCAGTTTCCATACCTCAGCATTAGTATATCAAGAAACAAGACAAAAAATAATAAAATGGGTATAGTCTCATTAGAAATCCATAAGAATATAGAGGGTAAAGTAATTAAGGGAGTGATATTCTAGTTAGGGTGAAGGTAAGGCTTGAATGCATCTGCGGCACTGCCATCTAATTGATCTATGTCTTATACAGTCACTAGGTATCGGCTGCCTCGTTGACCCTGATCTGGAAACTCGTATGGCTCAAACCAATAGTCAGAGGCTTCATGGACCGAAACCACTACTTAGTTTGGTCACATTCAACCTTTTTCCAGGTCACAACTACTTGAGTCAACATTGCGCGCTGAAGATGGTGGTTGAACGTGCGTAACACAACCTAGCGACTTTATTTCCTTGGCTTGACATCCTTCGCCCAAACAAAAACAATATTGTCTGGATTCAAAATGGTTTGCTGCGCAGCATTATCGACCATGTAGCACATAGTCAAATGTCTCGCCTGCACCATAAGTGGCGCCAATCCGACCTAATTTATAAACTCATTGTTATTTAAGTTCCCATGGTATCATTTTTGTGTTGGTAAGAAATTATTGGAAATGACAAGACTGCAGTTCTGGGATCGTTCCCAAGTTCATTCACATAATTGTTCTTTACATGAACAAACTATTTTCTTAAGGCTATGTTTGCAGATGGTTGGGTTTTTGCTGGTAAATCTGGTTATCGGTACTCGGCAATCGCTGCATGACAGTTATTATGATTATTCTTTCGCTGTTCTGGCATCGAAATCTCGAAAAATCGAGGCTTCACACGATGTCCAATTGCTATCGGATTTTAATTCTCTTTTCTTTCCTTATTAAACATGCAACACAGCACGTCATCAATTATGACTTGCCATCAGATATTGAAGAGTATGTGCATCGTATTGGTCGAACTGGTCGTGTTGGTAATCTTGGACTTGCCACTTCGTTCTTCAACGATAAAAATCGTAATTTGGCTCGTGGCTTGGTTGAGTTGCTTGAAGAAGCTAATCAGGCTGTCCCACCATGGCTGAAAGCGTTCACTAATGATGGTAGACCGGCAAACCTCCAACGCCCTAGGAACAATCGCCGGTAAGTTTATCAGGTTGGGTGATCTTCAATCTCTGTACTTGGTGCATGCTCATCTTTTTCATAATTTAGTTTTGCAGTAACACCAGTTAATCTTGTACAATTTCATTTGTGAGCAATCTAACTGTACCCACTTTTTTGCCCAGAGTAAGTGGAGCATTAGTTGCCCCTAAAATTGTGCATGTCATCGTATGAAACCATGCTGGAATTTGGTTTTGAAAATCACTCGCCATGCTTATTTTCTTGATTGATCAAGCTTTATACAGCTAACTCCGCTTTATGACTGAGAAACTGCAGTTGAGTCTTTGATCATGCTTATTCATTTTTAGTTCTTTGTTAAACTGCCCTGTTACCACTCCCAGTAAAGTTGGTTGCGGCAGAGTGAGCAATAAACCACATTGCTATCTTGAATTCTCAACTGTAATACCAATAGTTAACTTATTGTGTTTCGCAAATTTCTTTTTAGGGGCGGTTTCGGAGCTCGTGACTATCGACAATCTAATTCACGTGGTGGAAATGGTTCTATTCGCCCCTCTGGACCTACATCTAGAGACTATGGATTACTCCGAGATGGTGGCTATTACGACTCTCAACCTAACCCCATGGCACAAGGTTCTACGGACTGGTGGGGCAACTAACGGTTGCAGTCATAACACAACATGCGATATGTAATAATTCTTTCGTTTTTATAATCGGACTCATTTTTTGACAATTTTTACATGAGCGGAAACTTGTTTTCATAGTTTACTTTGAATTTCACGCCACTGAATAATTGCAGTTATTGCTTCTCTCTGAACCAGGTTGCTACGGTTCGTAGCAATCAGCAAATGTAATGTTTTGCACTTTTGTGGGCATAATAGTGGCAGCTATTCCTTCACGGATATCACTTCTGATTTGCTGCCCTTTATTTTTCCTAAATCTGCATTTATTTCCGTTGAGGTGTGATTTCCCAGAGACCTCAGACAAGTTTAACCGCTTTTTGGTATTTGCATTAAGCTTGTGTTGATTAAAAAATTAGATCTTGAAGTTTGAATTTTTATTTGTATAGACAATTATTTTGGGTATCGTGCTACAAATGAAGGTATAGAAAATTTTCCTTGACACCCTTTATAGGTCATACATCTGATTTTTCCAAAAACTGGCCTCTCTGCCCAACCTTGGTCATGTACCCCGCATATTGACCACATGACGCCAACATATCCATTGGGATCTGCTCCATCCAAGGCGAAGTGGTCGTTGAGATAGAACGCTAGCTTGAGGGCAGCTATCGGACCACCTTCATGCCACTCAAGAATTTTCTTCGCCCAGTACATTCGCAAAAACCCGTGAAGCTTTCCTGATCGTACAAGCTGTCGCTGGGCCGCGTTCCACAGATCATCCTTGGTTTCAGCATTGGTCATAGTTTCTTCTCCATATGATGGGTTGCGCTTATCATTTGCATGTTGAACTAGGGTGTTCTGAGCCCATTTCCATGCTCCTAGTATTTAAGAAACAACTCAAACGTTTAGAATTTTGGCAAATGAAATGCTTTCAGAATATCACTAGCAAAAATAAATAAAATGTAAATGAGATAGAATACAAGAACAAGCACAACTCGTCGGAATAAGGGGTGTTAACATCTGTCTTCGTTGTTTTAAGGGATTGGAGCGGTTAGTGTGGTCAGTCCCTTTTTCCTAGAGGTTATTTCAAAAAAACCTTACATTATCGCTTAACAAAGGACCTATCCGTAGGGAATTCATGATAATATTAAAACATTCATCAGGAACTGCACTCCCAACAGGTAATAAGTCAGTTTGTAAACACCTTGGTGCATACTTATCTCGGAACACAAAAGCGACCTGTAGATTAAAACTACAGTGTGATGGTGTGCGTAAGGTCGAGGCATAAAACAACTACCTAGTGGTGACCCATTCTACAGAGGGTCAAACGTGACCTGTGGAGATCGGTGGTAAGCCTATGCCTCTGGCAATGTGTTGCAGGTTGAAAATGTCCGCGTGGTTGCAGGGATACTTAACAGCTGGTTTCCGAAAAGCACGGACCTAGGGTCCAGGTCTTCTCGTCAACTGACCTTTAACAAGTATATTTTAAAAAATGAAATGTACGGTAATTACCTTCAAATGAATCATATTTCGGGTTGTAATAACAAAAATTGTCTGACAGCTCTCTGCGGATAAACGCTTCTTCTACGAATGAATCCACTGAACTTTTATACTTATCTCTCATAAGTTTCACTTCTAAAAGCGCCCTTTGTGGTGCAACTTGACCTGTTTAAAGGATATGTAAAGAAGAAACTCCAATTATAATTTTTGAATAAGCTTGTTATTTAGTTAGACGGAAAAGAAACACAAGTCTGTCACTGCACAATCCCAATCACTTGCAGTTCATTAAGAAAGAATAAAGGTATTTTTAATCTTCACGCTACTGCAGTTAACTAAGTTATTATTTTATTTTGAACAATATCAATCTACTCAGTAGGAAGTACCAGTCGTCATAATAAGTAGAAATTTACATGACTACGTGAACTGTGGTACTTGTGGGAGGAGCGGCCTCCTAATGTGGCGAGTATAATAAGTGAGAAGGAATTGAATGGATAGTGAGTTCATAGTAAAGGACATACACCAGTCCTATGATAGTAAACAGACTGGAAATAAAACGTCATTGAAGATATCTACCTGTTCAGTCACCTTTTTGAAAGCAATTACTACCGTCCTGCATAAACTTATGTGATAGTTTGTCAGTCGAAAAGTACGTATTTGCATATCGGGAACACTTAAAACAAAAAACATTCTTTTGCACATATCGAGATAGGTAACTTAAGATTAAGAAATGGACGAGTTCGATATCGGTTTTGTGGATCAGTTACGTCGGGACGCTTCGAAAAATAGTCTTACTGCATATCCTTGAGAACAATTCAACTAATTGCCTATGTACAAATTTAGTTTTCGTTGCACTGATCTACACTATCGATTATTTTAGCAACAGCAACCACAAGTGGAACAATTTTAGCGAGTACCGTGCCCAAGATAGTAGGGTATACGAAGTCTGAGTGAAACCGAAAAACCAACTTGAAAAAACCATACAGCTTGTGGATTTGGGTGAGGGTGCATTAATCACATTTGTAGTTGTCTTCATGTTTGGATAGGCGGACAAATTTTCAAATACCCGACATGTGGCATCTGTTTCAAGTCTGGATCGACTGACTAGGCGGTGTTATGTCGGTATGTAACTGAAGGTGTCGGGCAAGTATATCATGATAATCAAGCTTCTCCTCTGGGACTCACGCAACCACGTAAGGACTAACGGAGATTTGTCAGAAGTAAGAGCAACCTGCCAAGAATGCCAGGTTACCATTCCCATTTAAGTTTGTTTCAGACGTGCTGATGGATATAACGCTATGTAACTCCGACACCTTACGGCTTATTTCTCCTCAGATGAAACCTGGCTGGCTTGGATCACACATGATGTGTCCGTGTTAGACAACAAAATGCCGAGTCTTCTTGAACACTGAGTGAAAATCTGAGTATGTTCGGCTTGCACCTGTCAAGTGTAAGGTAATGCTTGAGGATTGGTTTACATTGACTCCCAGTTATAAAAAAAAAGTGAGTGAAGGGATGTCATGCGCTGATCACTTCTTGCGGTTTCATTGATATTCATTGTTTGACTGCAAGTAGTGACGTTCGTATTTAGATTGCATAAAAAAATTAGAGTACTGATAGCATATGATAGAACCAGTTTGGTCTAAACCAAATTTGTTTCGGAGAAATTAGGTCAGAACATTCATTATTTACAGACTCAGTTCTCTTACTACTGATTCCAGAAATTTACTCAGGAAGTTATTTAGTTTTGGTTGTATTGTGTTCTCTGAGTTGGGTTGTTTAATCTTGTTATTTAGTTTGCTGGAGATAGGTATAAGCTTCATGAGTTCTGTTAAAGAATAAGACAAGGTATTGGTTTGCAGTGATATTCAGGACGCGCGTTTCGTCCTATTGGAGTTTCGTAAGTTGGTTGTATTTGCATCTCAGTAGGTAATAGTGTCCTCAATGGAACTTGAACCCAGCACCAATCGCTTCAAATGCTAGAACGTTATGTATTAGGCAGCTGCGTCATCATAGCCACTTCTTGTATGACGCGTATAGCGTATTGGTGTTACGCTTGTGATTACTCGTCGTTAATTGGACCGAATGCACCGGCCTCTAAATCACAAGATAGACCTGGAAAAAAAACCCGGGAACAGCAGAAATCAAACAAGTGACTTTTATGAAATGACAGCAAGTTATTATTAGATTTAATGTAAAATTCTTCAAGTATAAGCCAGGTTTAAACAACAGGGGATGCAAACAGGGTGAATAATCTCGTTGAAGTAAATAAAAATTCAGAAGTGAAACTACCAGTGACCGTGGGTTTAACTGACATCTTAGCCGGGGCAATATCATTTTAGAAAATCGCAACAGGTCAATACAACAATATAAACAACTTTTACCGAAATGAAACCAAGGCGACAGATCGCTCAGACAATTTTTAGTTGGATCGTTGCGGCCATCGGCATATTTGGACAGTCTTTCGTGTATGAATGTGTGTAAGGTATTGAAACCGGCTTCAGTACCGGGAGTAGCCCAATCGACAGGTTTAACCAACATATCTCCAGAAAATTCTGACATCCAATATTCCCAGTCGACTGCCTATGCGAAAAAAGGTTAAACAGTTCAAATAAACAATGAACAGGATTCCAAATTTTAACGTGGCTAATAATAGTCTTGGAGTCGTTTAAAATGAGGTTCACTTTTGAATTTCTGATCTGGTATGTATCCCAGGGAGGGTATTTATGATTATTTTTTTTATTATTAGTCCCTTGGGTTCCTAGTGGAACATAGGGCTTCAGTAGCACGTCTCCAGTGACCTCTGTTCTCTGAGATCTTTTGAACCTGGTTCCACGACAGCCCACAACCTCTCATTTCCTCCTCCATGTCACCCTCACCTCGGACGCCCAACTCGTCGCTTCCCATGGGGATTCCACTCGAGCAACTGGCCTGACGCGTGATGTCCCCAGTCGGCCTTCTCAATGTATCCACAGCCCAATCCATCTCCACTTCCTCCTGCATATTTGTTGCGTGATAGGTTCTTGGTTGGTTCGTTCCCAGAGCTCCTTGTTGCTTATTCTTTCTGGCCATCTGATCTTCAGCAGCGAGCGTAAGCAGTTGTTGATGAATGTCTGTAGTTTGTTGGAAATCCCTTTCGTAACGCGCCAAGTCTCTGAACCATACAGAAGCACTGACTTGACGTTGGTGTTGAAAATCCGTATCTTGTTCCGCATGCTGAGTGCAGAAGATCTCCACACTGGTTTCAGGCTGATGAACGCCTGTCTTGCTTTTCCGATTCTGACTTTGACGTCCTCGTCCGTCCCGCCTGTAGTTGAAACAGTGCTTTCCTAGATAAGTGAAGGAGGTTACTTCCTTTAAGTTTCTCCCGTTGACGGTGATTGGAGTTTTTTGTTGTTGGTGGTGGTGCGGTATCTTCATCACCTTTGTCTTCTCTATATTCACCTGAAGTCCCGTCTTCGCCGCCTCTTCTTCCAGCTTGTTAGTTTTTGCCTGTAGATCTTCAAGTTTATGTGACATCAGGCACAAGTTATCGTTGGCGAAATCCAAGTCTTCTAGGTTCTTTTCCGTCGTCCAGTGTATCCCCCTCTTCTCGCTGCCCACTGTTTGCTGCATGATCCAGTCCAGTCGACCACAATCAGGAATATCATGGGTGATAGTAGGCAACCTTGTTTCACTCCTGTCTTCACTTCAAAAGCATCACTGAGCTTCCCATTGTGAATTACTTGTCTGGCATGTGGCATCTTCATATAGTTGTTGAATGAGGCTGATAAAGGTTTGCGGTACTCCGTAGTAGTGAAGCAGTTTCCAAATTACCTCTCGGTCGACGCTGTCAAAGGCCTTCCCCAGGAAGGGTAACATCTAAGAATTTCACCGTCTCCTAGTTCTAACAGTCTACAAACTACTCATCTGAATCACGAAATAAAAAAAATGTGATGTTGGGGATATTTTACCGATACTTCTTAATCAGTAAGGAATGTGGAAAGGCATGATCTAATGAAATCATGAATTTCAGCAGAATCTTAGAATATTCTACCTACTTGATCATATTTACCACAATGCAATACAAGGATGCATAAAAACCACTGCGAGACTAATTAGGGCTTAGTAATAAAAAATACCTCACCGATCAAGCGCGAAGGCAAAAGGCTGGGTAATGATGAAAGCCACACAAAGTATGGATAAATCACGTCAATTTGAACAGAGAAGAGGATCAGCTAGGAAATTCGACAATGTGAGGGAAAGAAATAATAGGATTCCGGGTCAGTGGAACAAAAAATTGATTGCTATTGCAGAATCCTGTGCCATTCGAGTTGTCAAATCAAACTTCTCTGTACAGAAAGAAATGGTTGTCAGCTTAGATCTACAACTATAACGCAGGTAACATACATACATATCTTTTGTTTCTACTCGATCGATGAAATTTATGGGTTTTTTATTATTGTGTTTGGTGTTATGCATGTTTATATTCCTGTACTGCATCATGGCATGTATAGCAATTTAGTTGAGTCCTACTGATTCCATTGAATCCTGCTTCTTCACATTTGTTAATAATATTGAATGTAAATTACTTTATTTGCAGTAGTATTATTTCTGTATAACATCATCTAGCTACTAGCCGGTCCTAAACCCGGATAAAGAGTTAAGGTTGGGCATAGAACTACCAACCCTAACCCCTAAAAACAATCCAACCGCTAAAGAAACTTCAAAGTGCAAACAAAATATAAAAAATAAACTTATTCTTCGCTGGGATCGAAATGACGCCAGTTGGTGAGAGCCTTCCGGAAGCCAATTGGCCGATGTGTCTTCTCTTCTCTCGATGAAAACGAAAGTAAACATGGGGATATAGAATGTCCGCACCATGTATGAACCTAGCAAGGTAGCCCAGATTGCAAAAGAGATAAGAAGGTATAGCATAGAAGTGCTAGGCTAGGAATCTGAGAAAGCAGATGGAATGGAAGTGGACTCTCCAAACTGTCAACTGGAAAGTCACTAATCTACTCCGATATTGTCACTCAGATGACAGCCATCAGCACACTGAGTTTCGGAGTGGCTATCATGATGTCCCCAACAGTATCGAAGGCTCTCATACAGTGGAAACCAATCTCCTCCAGGATCATAACTGCAAGGTCCAACTCAAAAGGAAAGAGCCACAATCATACAATGCTACGCTACGCACCTACAAATAATGCAGAGCAAGAGAAGAAGGAGGAATTCTACAGACAACTACAATCAACACTGGACAAGACCTCAGTTGGCGACATCAAAATTCGAATGGGAGACATGAATGCCAAACTGGGAGCGGATAACACAGGAAGAGAACCTATCACGGGTCGAGGAGCACTCGGTGAAATGAAAGAGAATTGTTTGCAGAAGTTTGCGCACTCAACGATTTGGTGATTGGAGGCACTGTGTTCAAGCACGAGGATATTCACAAAGCGACATGGACTTTACCAGATGGACACTAAAAATCAGATCGACTTTATCTCAATATGAAGAAAGTGGAGACGCAGTCAGCCTACTGGACACAAGATCGCGAAGGGGAACAGATGTAAGTTCACACCACTCAATATCCAGTACAAGAAACCTTCCAAATCAAGTCCAAAGTCTTCAAAAAAGCTGGTGATAGACCACAGTTCAAGTTCAACACCCATAATATAAACTGAAGCACATAAGTCATCAGGACAAAATGGGAAACATTGAGCAATATCCCTGAAGGAACCTGCGTGGAAGAACACTGGAACTCTTTGAAAGGGATGTGGAAAGAAACCTGCATAACCGTATTAGGAAGAAAGAAGACAAGGATTGGATCTCGACGGACTCATGGAAACTGATAGAGCAGCGAGAGGAGAATGGTGATGGTGAAGCAGAAGATAAACCAGTCCAGTGCAAGGATGAACAACGAAAAGAGGAACTGGACACAACGTGTAAAACACTGAACAGGGCAGTGAAGGAGAGTGCGCGGGAAGACAAAAGCAACTTTTACGACGTATTGACAAGTGAAGCAGAACAGGCTGCAGGTGAAGCAGAAGATAAACCAGTCCAGTGCAAGGATGAACAACGAAAAGAGGAACTGGACACAACGTGTAAAACACTGAACAGGGCAGTGAAGGAGAGTGCGCGGGAAGACAAAAGCAACTTTTACGACGTATTGACAAGTGAAGCAGAACAGGCTGCAGGTAGGAGAGGCCTGACAACATCACATCAAATAACCAGGTCACTGTCTGGGAGGGAAGAGATCAACTCAAATGAAACCCCATAAAGTTACTGAAAGCCGGAAAAGCAACAGGACCAGATAGAATTCCTCCAGAAGCACTGAGAGCAGACTCAGAGACATCAGCCGATATGCTCACACCACAACTGCAGAAGGTTTGCAAGGAAAGAAGGAAGGAAAGGTAGGTAGGTACCTGTTGATTGATTGGAAGAAGGGCTACCTGTCAAACTCACAAAGAAGGGAGACCTAAGTGTTTGCAGGAACTGGCGAGGAATTTGTTGCTGTCCACCTCAAGCAAAATATGAAGTTGCATCATCCTGGAGAGACTAGAAGATGCGGTGGATTCAAAAGTACGACCGGAACAGGCTGGCTGACTGGCTTGAGGAAGTACGAACCATGTGGGAACGAAATTGCAACGCTACGCTACACGTCATCGTGAAATAGAACAGAGCGTAGAATGGCAGTCAGCTCTCGACCCCAACTTCGTCGACTTTGAAAAGGCCGTCGACAACGTTGAACGAGAAGTAATTTAGCGGGTAGCTGAAGAGGCGGGGAAAGGTAGCGAAGGAAGACGGGACTTGCTTAAGGTGAACGTAGAGAAGACAGAGGTGGTGAAGATACCCAACCAACAACAAACACTAATCACCATCAACATGAACAGCTGCCGCCTACACTCACTCGATACTGTGGATCAGATTAAAAGGCTAGAAAGAATAAGCAACAAGGAACTCTGGTTTGGCAACGAGCAACCAAGAACCTATCACCCAATAAGTATGCAGAAAGTGAAGAAAGATTGGATTGAATATAGATTGAGAAGACCGTTTGGGGACATCACGCCCATGCCAGGCCCTCGATTGGGACCCGCATGGGAAACGACGAGTTAGGTGTCCGAGGGTGACATGGAGGAGATGGTGTGAGGAAGAAATGGAAGCTTGTAGGCAGTCGTGGAGCCAGGTTGAAAAAACTGTGGAGAAGGGAGTGAGATGGTGACGTGCTACTGAAGCCCTATGTTTCACTAGGAACCTAAGAGACAAATAATAATAATTTCTGTGTAAGTAATTAATCTGAACATAGTATTCATCGTGAAGAGACGTCTATATAAGGATAAAAAACTTCAAGGATTGATGATATCGATTATAAGCAAGGGTAATACGTTTTTTTGACAGGGAATCTTTATCAACGGAGGTGCCATGTGAAGAAATGATTGGTATTATATGCGGTTATGCTGATATAACATGTACATCACTTAAACTGAAAGGTTCACTGTCGCTGTACACAAGATATGTGCGATAAAATTGTACATACTATAGACAGAGATGTGGTTCTGAGAAGCCTCCTTTGTCTAATATCTGAGGACATATTTCTACTTTACTTGTGAATACCAAAACTAAGTGAATCCATAAAACATGAAAAAAACGGGCCGGAGATATATTAAATGGTAATTTTTGTCATATATTAGAATGAAAGTCATTGAATGAATTCTGTCATATTTCCCATGAACATGTTACGTTAAATGAAACTTTTTTGAAATTGAGTACTAAAGAAAATGAAGACCGGTCATTACTTGCCATTCAGTATTTTTTTTGATCCAGTAGCGATTTTGTTTCTGAAGGCAATCACAATATTTGTCAAAGAGTTCACAGAAAATTCAAAATGTTTTAGTGGGTAATAGATATTCCAAAAGGCTCATTAATGAGTACTAAAAATGAAAAATTGATTGAAACAACTGCGCGAACGAAGAACGTGTTCAATAGACTGCTATTTAAGTTCAAAGATGGTGAGGTGAGTTTAGAAAACAACCATCGAAATAAAATCGCACATAGCAAAGAAAATATGCGTAGATAAACTAATTTGGATATTAAACCTCTTCATCTTATTTTTAATTGAATATCTGTTTACCCGTAAAACATGATTTTTATGAAAACGAATATAATCCCGAAAAAAGTTCAGAGCATCGAATTTTCTCCGCTGTTATCTCGAAAGAATACTACACTTTATTAAGATAAGTGATATGATAGATAGTGTAAGAAGTTATTGACTGTTCAGTGACTTCTCTTACCCATGATCCAACAGGAAAATTTCCGTTCATATTATTTTGCGTTCCATCTATTGTACATATTAACAGTTGATATGAGATTGATTATTTACTGAGTTTTTTTTGGATAATCAGCAATCAAGTGCAATCATTTGACCACGCTACGCAGTAGTGCATCCAACCGATTATTATTACCTTGTACAATCAGCTATTACTTCACACCACGTTCTTCAAGTGATGTTAGCTTGTGATGAAACTTGAGATTGATCAGTTCCCGAAAAAATCACTAAGACAAGTGTCTTCAGTTCTACATCCATAGTGATAACGGAAAAAAATGTATTCACGAGAAAATATTTTATCTAAACCATTGCAAACTAAATTACTTAGATGAAGAAAAATGCCAATGGACTTACTGATGAATCAAGATCTAGTTGATGACAATGTGGGTGTTGGACTAACGGTGGGAAATCAGTCATTAAGTCAGTAGCTTTCTGATGTAATTTAGGTCGTATTGTACGAGCAGCGTATTCCAAATGATCTGAGGCATGCCATACAGGAACTACGTTATGTGCATCCACCTGATGGAATTTTGAAAAAAACAATTCTGAATCAATACAACTAAAAAAGTGACATGTAAAGCATGTTTGTTAAAAGTTTATTGAAATGCTTTCCAACTTTGTTCCAGTCATTCTTATGAAATGACGGAACTGCTAGCTCTCAACTTCATTGAGTGGAAAACGATAATTATGAAGGATACTTTTAGTCTGACTATATTTGGACAAAATAATCGAAATCTTAAGCCCTAATCTTTCACTGAACATAAACATATTTAAGGAGACAAAATTGTAACTAGATGGGGTTTGCCGGCAATAAAATAGAAATATATTCATAAGCGACAAACGTGAATCAATAGAATACAATCAACACCTGAAGTAATTGAATAAAATGATTAGAAGTAGGTGGAACCGATTCATTTAAAGAATATATATATATATATATATATATATATATATATATATATATATACCGAACATGTGTTAACTCCTTCCTGTTGCATGTAGTTGATGTTGATTTAATGAACAAAAATTTGATTATCAAACACTCTGCCACCCCCCATCCTATCATTTGGTAGTGCGCACTCGCATGCATAGCTATTACCAAGCTTTTCCTAGACCCCTTATCTTCATGCAGCTTGGTTGTTGCACCCAGACAGCTTAACCGATCCTGGTCGACTACTTTGAGCTCGTAATCATTGCAAGGGATGCGCTAAGCTAAATTATTTTGCCTAATTGAAACAATAGGATCTTTTAACCTCCAAAGCTTGTTTCTAAGTTAGTTTGTCGTATAATAAAAATATCATATTTCAAGTTGTTATTCATCGAAGACTGACATCAGTTGGAGGAACAAAGGAAACCTGGGAGCACTGGACAGCTGTTTCGTCCTAGTATGTTCCTCCAACTGATGTCAGTCTTCGATGAATAACAACTTGAAATATTTCCAAATCTCCACAACCCCCTCAAAAAAATATCATAATTATCAACTAGCCTCTTAAGTTGATTATTGAATTCATTAGTAGTTGTAAGAATAAATATGACTAATAATGGCAACAGATGTTCATCACAACAACAGTAGTGGTAATACTTTGGAAAGAGAATTTAAAACATACAGGAAAGGCACCTCAGAGACATCACGTAAGATTCTTAATAAGGCTAGGATTACAGTAGCATTGAACTTTACACACAAACAACAGTGAATATGAATGCAGATATATACACGCATTATTATTTACACATTAAACTTTGCTTAAAGTAAGTAACACATCTCAGTTATGTAGATTCATGCACTTAAATGGAAGCTCCGCTCTACTTATCAGTTTTAGAGACGGCGTGTGTGACTAACATTTCGCAGCAAGTATATATCAGTTCCCCTTTACAATTTTCTTCAATAACAAACTCAGCAAAACAGTGTCGGAAGAAATGACAAAGAAACATCAGCCTCTGGACTGCTGACTAGAGTAAACATGCATTTACTGCATCCTGTTTTCTAAAGATAATTTAGCTGAGAGAAAATATGGAAATAACGTATGACCTGTGTAGGTAACAGTCAACTCATTGGTTGAGCAGTTTCTAAAAAGCCAGGAATCAATGGTTGGAAATTGAGTGAAATGACACAAGAATAGTCTAAGTCGAACAGATTTAAAAACTAGTGCATGTTATTGTTGGTGATTTACATTCGAGAAAGTGAAACGGAACACTCAGACAGATACATATGACATTACCTTCACAAGACACTTCAATCTCTTATTGATTGGTTAGTGGGAGGTAACCAACTTTATGTTGTTGTTTGATTACTCTCCAGTAACCAATCGATACACCTAACCCAGTCCCACATGAGGTCAGTTGCAGCCCGAATAGCTCAGTGGTAATGTCTCCGACTGTAACACTGGGTTACGCGAGTTAGAATCTCAGGCGGGAAATCAGTTCCGTCAAGGTTGCAGATGCGCCTTGCTGGCGAGTGCTAGAAAAATACGAAACCCAGGTCCAGGGCTTCTTGTCGATTGCTCCCACCCAGCTAACACTTTAATCGTATGCACAACTTCACCAACAAGCAAGGAGGAACAGGATAAAAAAAATGGATATGTTTATTTATGATTCGAATTGATAATCAGAGCAAAAATCTGTGTATATTTGCTGGCTTTAGTTAGATGGCTTCATGGACTAACTACTCGAGGGGCGAACCACTGGGAACAAATTTAAAACTTTGCTGGAAATTTAACTTCTTGGGACCGTGTAAGTGAAGATAAATCACTTCCTGGCATTTCTAGTATTCCTCGTGATACTCTGTGTATACATGTGATGATTTAAATGAATAAACGTTCTACCTAGCGTTTCTTTTACGCTTACATTGTTCGCTATATTCATTTTATACTGGGTGATGATTGAAGGTGAAATGAAAATTTGGACCGCGGTAGGATTCGAACAAGCGACCGCCGGGTTTCCAGTTCGATACTCTACCAACTGAGCTATGAGGTTCGACTGCTGACCAGATTTTTATTTCACTTTAATTACCTTCAAGATTGAAAATTCTACTCCGACAAAGAAAGATATGAGTCAAACTAGACGAACTAATAAATTACAAATTTGACAATACTCAAAATCAGAATCTATCGCTGACAACAGTCAAGTCAACTGTTGTTTGCGTAGAATAATTTAGCTCAATCACTTTCTTTTAAAGCAGGAATTACAATCGGTTTACTGACTACTCTTCACTTTGTAGTAGTTGTAATGATGCTTGTAATTTTCTGTTGCTATACCGGGTCTAATTGCTTGGTAGTTGGGCTCCTATGCGAATGCCTGGATATTCATGATGTTATATTGATCTAGGTGACTAGCAGAGGAATCCATGACGCGCGTTTCGTCCTATTTGGGCCTCGTCAGCTGGATGTACATGCACCCCAGTGGCTTAGTAGATAACGCGCTGGCGTTTGAAGTGAAGGGCACTGGGGTTCGGGCCTCAGTGGGAACAACATCACTCACTGAGGTGAAGGCACATGCGGCTGACGAGTCCCAAGTAGGACGAAACGCGTATCATGGGATCCTTTGCTAGTCACCATGGTCTGATTATTTAAGTCTGAATGTATATAACCGTAGAAACAAGAAGCAAACGGGGAGAAAATATACATTATTTTGTAACTCACAGATAGTAAGCAATGATAACAGATTTTTTCTTAAAATCATAAGGCTAATCTCATAATACGTTATGTAATTTTCGAAGTAATCACAGATGATAATTTTGCTCGAAATACTACCAAACCTTTTTAAAAGAAAACTCATCATTCATTTCAAAATGAAATATCTATTAACAAAAGTGTAACGATGGGTTGGTGAGTGACTCACTATATTTAGTATATAATCTAGCGTATACTTATGCCCCAGTTTTGTGTAAAACATTGTTATTGATCTGAACATTTTAACGTGTCATTCCCATATCATTTTTACGGTATGACTGTAGTCTACTTTCTGCCCCCATTGTAATGTAAATCGCTAATTGGTTAATCTTTACTCTTACTATGCAAATGCCTCAAATTGAGGACAAGATCATTTTTCATGTGTATACTTATTCCACGTGTTTTGGATTGAATTATTATTATATTCTCGGAGTAAACTCTCAGATCATCCAGCTTCGGTCTTCTTTCTATTCGCCCCGGGTTTGCAGTCAGTGGCTCTTGCATACTAAGTTAGCTGTCAGCTAAGCGTGCGTATTATACTCGTTCGGAATATATAACCATTAGCGATCGAAAGCGTAACACTTATACCTCCCTAATAATTCTAAATAAAATCATACATACGTAAGTGGAAACAAATTTATCTAGCATCCTTTATTGTTGGAAACATGAAAATGGACGCTTATAAACAAGTAGACATTTTAAAAATGAAGAAAAACATGGATTCCAACTAACCAGTACATCATAAATGTAGGAATTTTAGAAACAAGGAAGTTTCACGATGACTATACCAGCAGTATATTACATAAAGTATTCCATATGATGCTAAATGAATGTATATGGCTCTTTATTTTGTGGAATTTAGGTGAAAACTGTTCGAGAAAATATGAAACCAATTCAATGGCAAATTTCCTACATTAAGAGATAGACTGGGAACTATTTCAATGACAGATAGAATCAATACAAGTCGGTTCAAGTTGCTGCAATTCACAGTAGTATAACAAAAGACAAGTTGACAGGGAAAACTAGTATTAAAGTAGAGAAGCATGTATTGAGAGAAGATAGAAATTAAGTTTAGTAAATACATCTCAGCTTTAGGAGACATCAAACAGTGAATTGATCTGTGCCACTTCACCAAGAGTCCTCAATCATTGATTCCTATCGTTTTGCGGAACCCAGCTAGGTAGTCTACACGGCATAGGCTAACAGTCAGGGACTTCATGGATTGGTGCCAGGTCTTAATCTGATCATACTGAACCCTCTTCTAACCCAACCCAATTTCTGCAGGCATTGTACATGGAAATAGGCAATGACTCCGCATGCAAAGTATAAGTCCAAGGCATCTCAGTCGATTAAGGTTCATAACCTCATCAATCGAGTTGCCTTGTACCCTTTGTCTAACCCCGACTACTCAATGATCAAACAATGACCATTACGAAAACGCTTATCTAGAGAAAGATAAGAAGGGGATAGCAACTAAAAAACATAAGATTTAACAGAAGAATATGTAGAAAGAGTCATATTGACACATTAACTAGGATACTTAGTCAAATTTATGAAATGTACATACATTCAAAAAACGTCAGCAATGTAAGCGGTATTTTTTAAAATGTAAACGTATCTGTTTTATGCCTTTGCAAAAAAGGTCATTGGTTCCAAGTTGTTAACCGTATGATTTACTAATTAGAAACTTTTGTTGATCATGTTAGGGAAGTATATAACTTAATTCCGTTATTTTTACCCTCATTTACCAACCTTATTTATGAAATAGCACTCCTAACTATAGTTATAATTTATTTCGTATTTGCTGTTGATCATTATCGCCATAATACCTGAATATCAACTGTGTACAAA